CAAATCCCACCTCTGACTGCCCCTGCCCCCGTCTATTCTCCACCTCCCATTGAGTCCCAGCTGATCGGCTGGGTCTTCTTTGGTTGCCCTGCATAGGAGAACGGAGCTGGAGGGCAGGTTAGTGGGGTGGGGAGGGAATGGGGATTTTGTGGTAACCTTCCCTTAGGAGTGGGGAAGGAATGAAGATTTCACAGTATCCTTCCCCTGCCATGCCTACCAAGCCACGCCACGCCCACCATGCCACGCCCACAGAACTGGTAGTAAATTTTTTTGAATCCCACCACTGGATACATGGCCTCATCTTTTAGGTGGTTTGACAACTTGTGATGTTCTCCATTTTAGGAGCTGGTCCTGCAAGAAACATTAAAGTCCCCCCCCCCGTGTTTTCATTTAGGTTTTGCCTGTATCCAAACTAATTTTGTTTTGTTTTTCTTCGATCAGGAATCAGAAGTCAAGCAGGGCAGGAGTATACTATTACCATGTCACCTTCTGTCTCTGTGCAGCGTGGTTTCGCTGTTTATATTCCATGCCAGTTCACTTATAACCAGGGAGACCTGTCAAGGAATGAGAAAGTAGTGGCTTATTGGATTAAGCATTCGCCACAACATCATTCCTGTTCTCCATCATCTCAGCCAGACTGTTTGCCTGTAGCTACCAATGACCAAAACCAGATAGTCGAACGTTCGGCCAAGGATCGCTTCTATTTATTTGGAGATCCAAGGAAAGGAAATTGCTCACTGGTCATCAGGGATGCTCGCATAGAAGATGAAGGGCAGTACTACTTGAGAATTGAGGGGAAACGGTACTTAAAATTTTCTTTTCTCCAAGGAAATGGGAATACTTCACCTTATGTTCATGTGATAGGTAAGTAGTTTTCTACTTTTTTATACAGTGAAGAGATCAGAAAAGATCGAGGAGAATAGCTATTTGGAGGTATGGGTGAAAAAACCCAAGATAGCCACTGTGACTGAATAATTGAAGCATCACCTCATTTTAAAGTGCATTGCATGTTATAAAAAGCTGAGCCATCAGTCACCTCCAGTACCCGCCATTTTGCCTTTTTTTTTTTACTTCCTTCTTCCACCCCTCCACTCCTTTGAGGCCTGCAACTACATTGATGAGCAAAGAATGGCTTCCTCTCGTTTCATCTTCCAATGTTGACTCAGCAGAGGAAATAAATTAGATTATATTCCTGCCAACATTAAGAACCAAACCGTAACCTGTTGTTGAGGCCTCTTTTGGTGCTTTTAAAGAAGGAGTCTCAACCCTGGCAACTTTAAAACCTGTGGACTTCAACTCAGCCATTTGGCTGGGGAATTCTGGCACTTGAAGTCCACAGATCTTAAAGTTGCCAGGGTTGGAGACTCCTTCTTTAAAGGAGAGATGTGTTACCTGGTGCCTTCCAGATATTCTGGAGTACAGCCCCCATCCCATGTCTCCTCTAGCTGAACCTTAACTGATTTCAGACAGCTAAGGGTTGAAGGTGTTTGGCACTGGGTTGGGAGACCAGTAAAAAAAATTATCCCAGGGTTTAGATTAGCAAATTGACAAAACATTATGATGGTAGAAATGGCAAAACCTCTCCCAAAGCATTGCCTAGAGAAGCAAATGCATATTTCTGTTGACTCTTTTCTTTTCTAGCTGGCCAAGTTGGAACAACCGACTCTGTCTTCCTTGAGCTTGATGACTCTATGTAACTTCTTGGAACTTTCACTTTTCCTCTTCCTGTGTTTCAGAACCACCCCAGAAAGTCAATATCACAGTGGACATCACAGACTCGAGACAACTCGGTGAGATTTCAAATCATGGAGCCTTTCAAGCACCGTACAGGGGGTTGATTTGTTCCCAAATGTTTTTGCAAGCTTGAAATGTTCTCTCCTTTTATCCGATTGTTCCATAAGCAGCATCTCTTCTCCCCTTTTTACAAGGTCATTGCATTATATATTTCATGAGTGAAACCAAACAACCAAATATTCAGCTATCTTGGTTTTTTGAAATTAGGCCAAATCTGGGGAGGTGGCTTCCAATTTTCCGTTTTGGGTAGTTCCCTGACCAGTGCTCCTAAATGCTTGCAGGCTTACCAGAAAGGAAAGAGGGAGTCAACCATGTAACAGTCAAGGAAGGAAACACTGTCACCCTGATCTGCACTGCTGATGGTAGACCACCTCCCAATCTATCCTGGATGAAGGAGAACCAGAAAGTTGGTGAACCCACAGGTTACCTTCAGCTGCGTGAAATTGGACCAGAGGATGCTGGAAAATATCAATGCCTGGCAAATAGTCAGCACGGATCACTCAAGACGATGGTTGAAGTGATTGTCCAGTGTAAGATTTACTTGTTGTTGGGTTGTGTAGCTGAAAATACTCATCCACTATAGTTTGATTTACAGTGATCCAGCAAACATTCCAGTGGTGGGATTCAAGTTTTTTTTTTACTACTGGTTCTGTGGGTGTGGTTTGGTGGGCGTGACTTGCTGGGCGTGGCAGGGGAAGGATACTGCAAAATCTCCATTCCCTCCCCACTCCACTGACCTGCTTTCCAGCTCCGTTCTCCTGTGCAGGGCAACCAAAGAAGTCCCAGCCAATCAGCTGGGACTCAATGGGAGGCAGAGAAGAGATGGGGGCAGGGCCAGTCAGAGGCGGTATTTGCCGGTTCTCCGAACTACTCAAAATTTCCGCTACCAGTTCTCCAGAACTGGTCAGAACCTGCTGAATACCACCTCTGAAACATTCCCATTTCATACATCCTTACCCAGGTGAATCTTCCGTTAATGGAGGTCTCCACAAATGTGTATGGATATGAGTGCCTATTGTTCATCTAGGTCAGGGTGTCAAACTCAATTTCATTGAGGGCCACATCAGGGTTGTGTTTGACCTCGGGGGTCCGGGGTGGGCATGGCCATCTCAACATCACTCAGGTCGGGAGCACCTGTGGTGGCCTGAGTGGTTGCCAGAGAAAGCGGGGTCCCGAGCTCGGTGCTAAAACTCCACTTTTCCTTTCTTAAAAACATTTCAGTTGCGTCTCCCTTTTACCACAAAAGAACAGGCCACGCACTTTTGAGGGGAAGTTACGACTGTCTAAAATGAGGAAAGGAAGATGGGTGTGGTGTCTTATTTCCTAAAATAAAAGTTGAGCAAGGAAAGCTGGACTTATTCACGCAATACTTTTCTCTGATCTGCTGCTTCAAACCCTTTTCTTTCAGCTTTGCTTTGGAAAGACATCTATACCGATCTATTCTATTCCTTCTTGAAGGCTGGGGACGATGGAAATTATAACCCAAAGGATTGGGGGGGGGCGGGGGGGGGGGGGAGAGAAGAGAAAAAACATTATAAAAGGCTGCCTCAAGGGAAAAATGAAGGTTATTCCCTCACAAAAAAACAGATAAGAATTTCTTCCTCAATATAATTTGTATTGAAATGCTATGGGTTGTGCAGCTGCATCTCTAGAATTGCTGTTAGAATACAAAATCTGATACAGGCTTGTTTCCTCTATGAGGTTCCCCTGTTTTTACTCCTAAAAAAAGAGGGGAAAAAAGAAATCTAGATTCTCAGAATGCCAAAAAGAAGTTTAAATTAGAAATTATTCTACTTCATTCTCTTTCCTCCCTTCCCTCCTGCAAACAACGATGCAAATAACGATATGAAAGGAATTCACGGCATCCCATTCAGGAAATGTGTACAATGAAGGATGCAGGAAATATAGTCAGTAACCCAGAAATGGCTATTTTATTGTCAGGGCGCTGGGCTGATGGAATGGGACAACTGGCCACGGCCACATTGTTGTGGCCACTTCACTGCCCCCACCCCAATCCCAGCTAACCCACTGTGGCCCTGCCATCCTGGTGAAGTGTCTGCAACAAAGTGGCCCTGGCCAATTGTTCTAGACTCCTGTGAAGAAGAGTACAGAATTCACACAGCTTGGATCCTTTATTTTGAAACTTCCGACTCCTCATTCTGGAGTTCTTTAGAAAAGCCATGAAAATTTGGCTCTTCACTCTTTGGTGAGAGAAAGTGAGATCCTTTGTTCATCACACTTGTCATTTACTGACCATAAGCTCTGAAGCAGAGGTGGTATTCAGCAGGTTCTGACCAGTTCTGGAGAACCGGTAGCGGACATTTTGAGTAGTTCGGAGAATCGGCCAATACCCCCTCTGACTGGCTCCACCAACCCCATCTATTCTCTGCCTCTCGAGTCCCAGCTGATCGGCTGGGTCTTCTTTGGTTGCCCTGCACAGCAGAACGGAGCTGGAAAGCAGGTCAGTGGGGTGGGGAGGGAACGGGGATTTTGCAGTATCCTTCCCCTGCCACGCCCACCATGCCACACCCACGTAACTGGTAATAAAAAATGTTGAATCCCACCACTGCTCTGAAGCAATTTTTAAGATGCTCTGTCTTACAGGCCAGAGACCTTGCCCTTCTTCTCCACAAAAGCTTTTCTCTTATGAAGTTTGATATGTTTTTTTTCTTCCCCCCAGATCATCCAAAGATGCCGGTTTTCAACATCTCCCAAACTCACAGGAGAGGCTCCATACTCACTCAAGGTACTTAAGGATGCAACTATGAGCAGGATTTCTCCCTTTTCTGAAGGATGCCACTGGCTGGCTTGACCAAGGCTCTTTCATGGGAATGATGGGTGCTTTTACTCTGGTTTCAGGTTGCTCCAAGGAGCTGGCCAGTGACTCTGAGTTGACAGCCCAAGAAGGTGACTCATTGGAGGTGTTCTGCAAAGCAGATAGCAATCCTCCAGCTGCAACTAGTTGGGTGAAAGGGGACAGCCCCTTGCAGAAGCCTCTAGATAACCAATTGAGACTGACCAATCTGACAGTTGCAGATGAGGGTGTCTATGTGTGCAAAGCTACAAACATGTTTGGCGGTATTCAGAGGACCTTCTGGCTATCTGTAACATGTGAGTGAACCATAATCCTCTAGAAGACACTTCCTTCTAATCTAGAGGGAAGCTATTAATGCTGTTGACTGCTTGAGCTAGAGAACATTCCTCATCCTTGGTAGAAAACGAGCCAAGGTTCAGTTGGGCTGAAGAGAGAGAGAGAATCGAAGAGAGATTCCTTGCTACGACAAGCCAAGTAGGATGTTCATAATGAGGGAGGTCAAATGAGGGTTGAAGGCCTATTATAGGACAGTGAGACTTATTATCAGTGATACTTTTGTCACTATGACAGTCCTACGTTTGGAAAAACCATGTCACCGTTTTCCTTTTCATGCAGAGATGCTAAAGTGTTGCACATCTGCCCCAAAGTCCTAATGTTGGAACTACATGCGGGGGTGGGATTCTGTCGGTTTGGACCAGTTTGGGTGAACCAACCCCTAGCTCCGACGATTGGCGGGCTCCGAATCGGTTCGCTCCGGCGATCGTGTGGGCTCGCCTGCCCGCCCCTGTGCTGTACTCACCTATATCTGCTCATCTGATTTACGGGGCAGAAGGGATCACCACACTTCAGCTGTGTTACTTCCTCAAAGTAACATTGAAGGGAAATAGTTTTGTATGCTGTCCATGTGCACGCACACACGTGAAGTGCCCAATTAGTGAACTGGTTGTTACACCGCGAGCATCCCACCATTGACTCCACGGCTCTTTCGCTCTTTTTCAGATGCCCCAAAGCTCAGCAGGAGCCCCCAGAAAAATACAACCTGTTCTTACCATGACAATGGTTTCCTGTGTGTTTGTACCTTGCATGCTAAACCCCCTCCCCGGATCGAGTGGGAGGTGGATGGGGAGAGGATAACCGAGGAGAGAAGGAGGAGAGAAAACCTGACCGTCCAAGCGCTAGTCCAGAAGAATGAGGTCACCAGTACTTTAAAGTGGACGGGCAGCCTGGATAGAGCCCATAATATTATCTGCATGGGGAGCAATTCTTATGGAATCCAAAACATACCATTCCTTTTGGATGCCCAGCGACACCCAACTTCAGAGTCTTCCATAGGTAAGGAACTCCACTAGGTACGTGTAAGGCAGTGGTGTGTTTCAAATATTTTTTACCACGGGTTCAGTCGGCGCGGCTTGGTGGGCGCACACTTTGCGCAGGCGTGGAGGCATTTTGAGTCACTCTCCCTGACGCTTCAGCAGCTGCCGTGTGGCAATTACTGTGCCGCGCAAAGCAGCTGTTCTTCAAAAGCAGGACATAAAAGGTGAGTATCGGAGGCCGGGTGGGCGGGTGGTCCCAACAGCAGAGTTTTGGTGAGAACCAGCATGGTCTCTGCTGCTCATCGCCGCTACTGGCTCGGCAGAACCGAGCCGAACCGGTAGAATACCACCACTGGTGTAAGGATATGTAGGAATTACCTTGAAAAGTAGAAGGAAAAACCCATAGCCTAGACCAGTGATGGCTAACCTTTTCAGCTTGGTGTGTCGAAAATCGGGAAAAAGTGTAGCCTTCCTCGGGTCGTGTGTCACTTCAAGAAATATCAATAATTTGGTTTATGACGGACTGGGCTGGGGTGATCACACAGGGCTGTGAAACTCGTCTCCCTGGTCTCAGGGCTGCAGGTGCAGGATGTGGGGATCGGAAGGCCACCTTACAGGGCTGTGAACCTCATGGATCTCCTTTCCTCCTGTAGCGTTCCTGAGGTAATGAAACTGACAAACCTCAGTTTATGGCGGTTAAAACTGGTTCTCTGCTGCAAAGATCTCGCGGCAGCGGTGACACCACGCCTCCACGCAACAATCAGGGAGCAGGGATTGGAGCAGAGCACAGGCAGCCTCTAAATGTGCAGGTTTTCCCCACACCAACAGGCGTGTCAGTCAAAGTGCCTCGGCGTGTCACGAGTGACACGCTTGTCATAGGTTAGCCATCACTGGCCTAGACAATAAGAACCCTGGTGGTACAGTGGTGAAAGTGCAGTATTGTAGGCTAACTCTGCCCATAGCCCACAGTTCGATCCTGATGGGTTCGAGGTTGACTCGGCCTTCCATCCTTCTGAGGTCGGTAAAATGAGGAGCTAGATTGTTGGGGGCCATAGGCTGACACTGTAAATTGCTCAGAGAGTGCTATAAAACACTATGGGGCAATATACAGATAACCCTTGACTTACAATTAACAATTGGGACCACAATTTCCATTGCTATGCATAAGTGAGTCACGGCCAATTTCATGAGCTCTTTTTGGGGGGGGGCAACGGTTGTTAAGCAAATCACTGTGGTCATTAAGTGAATCACATAGTCGTTAAGCCAAACTGGCTCCCTCTTCCCATTTTGATTTTGCTTATCAGAAGCCAGCTGGGAAGATCACGTATGGCGAACACGTGACATTGATATGTTGCAGTTGTCCTAAACACAGGCCGGTTGCCAAGTGCCCCAATTTTGATTCTGTGATTGTGGGGGAAGCCATGGTGGTTGTAAGGATCACTTGTAAGTCACCTTTTTTTCAGTGCCAGCGTCACTTGGAAAGGTCCCTGAATGGATGGTTCTAAAACAAGGACTACCTACTGGTATAATGATTCTTATCCGTTTCCTTCAAGGCAGTGGTGGGATTCAAAAATTTTTACTACCATTTCTGTGGGCGTGGCTTGGTGGGCGTGGCAGGGGAAGGATACTGCAAAATCCCCCTTCCCTCTCCACCCCACTAACCTGCTTTCCAGCTCCGTTCTCCTGTGCAGGGCAACCAAAGGAGACCCAGCCAATCAGCTGGGACTCAATGGGAGGCAGAGAATAGATGGGGTTGGCAGGGCCAGTCAGATATTTGCCAGTTCTCCGAACTACTCAAAATTTCTGCTACCGGTTCTCCAGAACCGGTCAGAACCTGCTGAATACCCACCTCTGGAACTAGACTTCCTAACGTCCTAAAATCTCTTACCAACTTCTTACCTGAAGAATCAGGTTTCCTAATTCCCCAGAATTGATTTCCTTCAACAGTTTTGGTTTATTGTTACAGAAAGATCTTTGTTCGTTGCTGGGATATGTGGAATTTTTCTGGGAGCTGGAATCCTCATGTTGTGTTTATTCCTGATCAGGTAAGTTTCTGTCCAGGACTTTATGTTTTGGCAGGATTGATAAGATCACGCTCTGAACAATAACTAGTATCAATCTATCAATCTCACTATACGTGAATCACAGCCAGCCGATTGCAGATTTGACAGATCCAGCCCAGGCCCTACCTTTTTCCACGTTCTAGGTTTTCAATACGTAGATGGTGAAATTCAGAAGCTTCATTAAATGTTGACAATTGTTATGCTCCAGATCTGATAGATTTCCGTAGAGTTGCAATGCTGAACAATTTGTTAATTGTTCTGTCATCAACACCAATGAAGAATTGGGCCAACATACTACTTATAATTATCATTCTTTATGGGATATATGACTGCAAAAGATGACAGGGAAATGGAAGTAGGGAAGATAGAGAACGTGTGGCAATATATGTGTGTTTATTGTTTGCTTGAAAATGAATGGTGTGGTGGCCTAGAGGTGAACCTCTCACATCACAATCAGGAGGCTGTGAGTTCGATCCTAGGTAGGGTCAGATATTTCTCTCTCTGGGCAGAATGAGAATATATCTGCTGAACAAAACTCCTCATTGGTGACAGGAAGGGCATCCGGCCAGTAAACACTCAGCTCCATTCAGTTGCCCAGATTCCACCCCACAAGGGATTATGGGGTCATTAAAAGGAGATGATGATTGTATGCTTAACAATGTTTCAAATGAGATGCTTCAGTACATGCAGCAGAATTGGTACAGCATCTCTTTAAAGCAGCCACTTTTTCAGGCTTTGTCACACAGCTGCTTTAATAAGCCACATTAAATTGTCCACAATTTTTCAAGCATGAAATAGTGTAGAGTCAGTAAAATAAATGACACTAATTTTAATACGTCTACTTTAGACAGGACTAAAATTTGGATCCATCTCAAAGTAGGTAGCAGCTTCTCTAGTGTTAGAGGAATACAGGATAAAGGTGCAGCAATTTGTTTGAACACAAATTGTTTCTCTTTTGTTACTATCACTATGTTACTCCCAAGTAGAATATCTATAATAGTGCAGAAAACATTCTGCTTGACTCCAGAAGTTCAACCTAAACTACCCACCTGTCATTGTTATATTTGGGAAGAGCCAAAGTATGATCCACCCAGTGGTGGGATTTAAAATTTTTTACTACCGGTTCTGTGGGTGTGGCTGGGTGGGCATGGCTTGGTAGGCCTGGCAGAGGAAGGATAGTGCAAAATCCCTATTCCCTCCACCACCACCCCCACTAACCTGCTTCCCAGCTCCATTCTCCTGTGCAGGGCAACAAAAGACAACCCAGCCGATTAGCTGAGACTAAATGGGAGGGGCAGAGAATAGATGGGGGCGGGGCCAGTCAGAGGCAGTATTTACCGGTTCTCCGAACTACTAAAATTTCCATTACCAGTTCTGCAAAACTGGTCAGAACCTGCTGAATACCACCTCTGGATCCACCCCACTGTCTGAATCCTTAGTGTTTATATAGCATGTGGAAAGACACAAGCCCATAGCCCAATACAATTGTGATTTCAAATAAATGGAGTGTTGCATTGTTGTGGGAGGGAAATGCATCATTAATAAGAGACAGAGACAGAAAAATGATGGATGTAAACTGATTAGGGAATTGACACAAGCAAAAAGTTAAGGATTAAGAAATCAGCTTTAGGAGGAAAAATGGAGAAGCTGGTGGTTTCTTATTCTGGAATAAATATTGCTGTAGCAGTGGATTACTCTAGTAATAGAGGTTGGTCTAGATAGAGGTCCTTAAACTCTTTAGTTCATCAACCCCTTGATGAAGTTTCTAATTGCGCATTAGCCCCCAAACGTCCTCATCCTTATCTTCATCTTCATCCTCATCTTCATCATGTAATAAATATACAAAAAATATAGCAATAACTTCTTGGATAGTCCTATAGAACCATTAGTTAAAGTAGTGTTGATCACTTTGGGGAACCCTGAATTAAATTATTTCCTAGGTCCCATCCATTCTGTGACTCCATGGATGTATAATAATCTTATGTTGTCCCACTGAATTCCTGCCAGGGTTTTTAAGAAGAAGAAAGCATTGCTTGAAGCTAGCCATGTCGAAGGAACCCCTTCTAGAAGAGAACCTCAGGAGGAATCCAAGAATTCCACCCATATCTACGGCAATATTTTCCCGATGGTAAGAAACCCTTATTTTGGCAAAAACAATAACAACAACCACCTTGTGAAGCTAATGTATTGAAAAGGGATGCCAAATAGCTAAAAACAGAGATCAGCAAGCTTATGTCCATTAATCTTTTAGAAACCATCAAACTCTGTCAAGGATCTTGGAGTACTCAACTCTAATGATCTAAGTGCTAGAGCCCACTGTAACTACAGAGCCAAAAAGGCATTAAGAGTTGTTAATCTAATCTTACGTAGCTTTTTCTCTGGTAATATTACACTACTAACTAAAGCATACAAAACATTTGCTAGACCAGTACTCGAATAGAGCTCATCAGTCTGGAACCCACATTACGTATCTGATATTAAAACAGTTGAGAAAGTCCAGAAATATTTCACAAGAAGAGTTCTCCACTCCTCTACTTGTTGCAGAATACCTGATGCCACCAGACTTGAAATTCTAGACCTAGACAACCTAGAACTAAGCCGCCTTCGGTCCGATCTAAGTATGGTACATAAAATTATATATTGCAATGTCCTACCTATCAATGAATACTTCAGCTTCAATCAAAACAATAAAAGAGCACAAAATAGATACAAACTAAAGATAAACCGCACCAATCTTGATTTCAGGAAATACGACTTCAGCAACAGAGTAGTCAATGTCTGGATTACCCTACCTGACTCTGTGGTTTCTTCCCCAAACCCCAAAAACTTTAACCTTAGACCAGGGGTAGTCAACCTTTTTATACTTACTGCCCACTTTTGTATCTCTGTTAGTATTAAAATTTCTCTAACCACCCACCGGTTCCACAGTAATGGTGATTTATAAAGTAGGGGACAAAACCAGGGATGGGATTCAAATTTTTTAACAACTGGTTCTGTGGGCGTGGCTTAGTTGGTGGGCGTGGCTTGGTGGTCAAGTTATTGGCTGGGCATGGCCAACTCAATATCACTCACATCAAGGCACACATCTCCTCGCCTGGCCTCTCATGACTGTGGGATAATGCAACAGTCGTAAGTGTGAAAAATGGTCATAAGTCACTTTTTTCATGCCATTGTAACTTTGAATGGTCACTCCACACAAGCAAAGTACCAGCAAAGGAGGGGGGAAAAACTCCAGAGAAGTTTCTGAGACAGGTCGTCTAGTCCTGCCAAGAATGTAATAAGAGGCAGTTTCTGTAAGCAACACCAGAATGTTTCCTTCCTGCCTTCCTTACAGGATTAGGCCAGTAATTTCTTCTAACAACCGGGTCTCCGAACTGCTTAGAATGTTAACAACCGGTTCTAGTGAATAGGTGCAAACTGGTAGAATCCCACCCCTGGACAAAACTCCTACCGCCTACCATGAAAGCTGGAACACCCACTAGTGGGCGGTAGGGACCAGGTTGACTACCACTGCCTTAGACTGTCTACTATTGACCTCACCCCTTTCCTAAGAGCTCTGTAGGGGGCGTGCATAAGCACACCAATGTGCCTACCGTTCCTGTCCTATTGTTTCTTTTATTTTTTTTATTTTGTATTCATAACTATGTTTTTACTTATACCTATTATCTTGTAAGCCATTGACAAACCAAATAAATAAAATAAATAAATAAAGCCTTTTCTGAAATCAGATGGATTCCTGGTATTTTAAAAAAAATGTAAAGTGTTTTGTGTAAATTCCTTTAGGTTTGGAATGAGCTAATTAAAAGAAAAAGACATCTATTTCTTTTAAAAAATCTACTTCTTTTCAGTTCCAACCTCTTTGGGGCATGGTTCTTATGCCACTGAGATCCCAAATGTTGCCCGGGGCCTAAATTAACATAATATTGAGGAAACTGAGGCACTGACACTTCTGTGTGCCATATGTCAATCTGTCAAGTGCAGTTATTTTCCCCGCTCCTCTCTTAAATATGCTGCCATCAAGCCACTCTCAGGAAGGGAGAATAAAGAATACAGGTAATCCTTGACTTACAGCTATTTGTTCAGTGACTGTTTGAAGTTACAGAATGGCTGAATGAATGATAGTTATAACTGAATTTATCTGAATTATGGCTTGTCCCGGCACCCCTGTGATCATATGAACACAATCCTGGATCCTTGGCAACCTGTTTGCACTTATGACCAGTTGCCAGACACCCTGAGATCATGTGCTCATCATTTGCAACCTTCCCTGCTGGCTTCCCCAGAAAGTCAATGGGGAAGCCGGTAGAGAAGATCACGTATCACAGAGATTAGTGTTCCCCACATCCTTCCCGTCCCCTCTGAGCTTATGCTGCACCAGCCACTTGTGTACCCCCACACAATCTCCCCAACTGAAGGGGTTCCTCTCATGCTTGGCCACATCCTCCTCAATTGCATAGCACCTCTTGTGCACCCCCAGCTTTTACAGCACCTCTTGTGCACCCCTGCATCCCCCGGGACCTGTGTGACATTTCCATTCATTCCTGCATACCCCTGCACACCCCCTGGCATCCTTCTTGATCAGTGTGTGGCACTCTAGCACACCCTCCCTGATCCATTCAGCATCTCTCATGAACCACTGAGCATGGCTATGTATCCTTCCTGAGCTACCAAACACCCCTAAACATCCTTATCAGGCAGGGGTTAGTGGAAACTTTCTGTCCCTATTCATCAAGGAGTTCATTAAGGCTGAACATTCTGAATCTCATTTTGCAGCCTGGACTGAGCTGTTGCTTATGAGATAAGGTGTAGGAGATGAGTAGGCTGCAACCTGAGGGAGGAGTCAAATGTGTCATAAGTCACGAGTCCCTTCGTGCCCGCAAGAGATCTAAAGCCTAGCCCACCTTGAATGCCTTTCTATTCATAACTTCTGTGCATTTCTCTTAATGGTCCCTTAGCCAGATTCTTGCAGTGAACTTAAGCTTGCAATAAATCTCTATACTCATTTGAACTGCCCGAATCTCCTGATTTCCTGGGCAAATTTATCTCCTATTTCTTTGTTGTTTGTGTCCAACAATCACTTAGAAAATAAGGTGAGAACAAGGAAAAAAAATGAGTTTTTCCCTTCTTTTCCCCAAAACATTGTTCCTTTCTTTCAGGCTCCAAGATTATCCTGGGTCAATAAGTCAAAACCTGCTCAAGAAAGGAAGCCCAAAGTACCCCAGGGGTCCACTGTTCCAGCCCCAAGGAGATCAGAGCCACCTGAATTGCAATATGCTGCCATAGATTTCAAGCCGAAAAGTAAAGGCGTTCCAGCCTTAAGCAACGATGATGTGGAATATTCATCCATCCAAAGAAAATAAAGTCCTTGGGAAGAAACAGAAGAGAAAGCGGATTGACGTTTTTTTGAACTTCAGTGCTGACTCCTGAAGATAACCATGGATAGCCAAGAAATAAATCATGAAACAAATCAGTCGGTCATTCAAGCCACAAAATAATCAGTCTCAGATTATCTATTTCAGACCCATTATAAGAAGGCCCAGCTCTCTGTAGAAGGCTGTAATGCTGGGAAAGGAGGAAGGAAAGAGAAGAAGAGGATAACCAGCAGCAAGGGGGATGGATTCGGTCATAGTGGCAATGGGGCTACTTAAGGACAGAAAGTTTATCTATGTGGTTGCTAAGAACTGACACTGACTTGATACGTAATTAATTGATCATTCCTAAGAAACTCCACATATAACGAGGATAGGGCTACCAGATCAAAACTGAGATAATCGACATACACCTACATCCATACATAGTGTGCATATTATATACGTACTACTAAAACATTTGTGTCTCTTTGTCTATATATTTCCATTGGGTGAAGTGGTGCATCGCAGAGCAACAATTTTGGAACTAAGGTGCCTCAAATGGCCCAACGTACAGAACAGGTCCAAAATCCAGGACCTAAGATTCCTGTAGGATTGAAATTTGACAAATTTGTGGCTGCTGCACCACCATGCTGTTAACCAAAGGTTCAGTAGATTGGCCTCCTCCGTTGGCTTTGGAATGGGTCTACTCCCCATGGCCAACTCACCGTGACCAATTTCTCATGACCAACTCACCGCAGAAAATGCCGCAGCCATATCATTTCAGACCAATGGTTGTCCAATCTCTTCTTGGAAACCTCCAGTGTTGGAGCATCCACAACTTCTGGAGGCAAGTTGTTCCACTGGTTAATTGTTCCATCATTCTCCTTAAATTCTAGGTTGCTTCTCTCCTTATTAGTTTCCACCCATTGCTTCTTGTCTTGCCTTCAGGTGGTTTGGAGAATAGCTTGACTCCGTCTTCTTTGTGGCAGCCTCTGAGATATTGGAACACTGCTATCCTGTAACCTCTAGTCCTTCTTTCCATTAAACTAGACATACCCAATTCCAGCAACCGTTCTTTATACGGTTTGACCTCCAGTCCCCTAAGAGGGCAGAGTCAACATTGAGGGTGGAGTCAATGTGATAACAGGAGCTTAGAGCTTTGATTCCACTTTTCAGTTTCAGTGACAATCTTCTACTCTTAACCTGTTGCTTCAAAACATGACTATGACTTAATGAGCATATGATCAAGCTTATACAGCCGGCATCAGATTATCCTCAGCTCTGGCAGGAAACTTTTTAAAAATATTAGTCGACCGAAGGTTCTTCTTTAGACGAGACTGGTGATGATGAAAAATGCTTTTCAGAGAGTAATCCTTGACATTCCCATGATGGAACAAATCCAGCCATTTCCAGGTGAATAAAAACTGAGTTAAGGAACTGGTTCACCTTATTTCACACTGGGTCTTCCTTATATCCAGGTGACAGCTAAAATAAGGCACTTCAGGCAGTGGTGGGATTCAATTTTTTTTTTTACTACCGGTTCTGTGGGCGTGGCTTGTTGGGCATGGTGTGGCTTGGTGGGTGTGGCTTGGTGGGCATGTCAGGGGAAGGATACTGCCAAATCCCCATTCCCTCACCACCCCACTAACTTGCTTTCCAGCTCCATTCTCCTGTGTAGGGCAACCAAAGAAGACCCAGCCGATCAGCTGGGACTCAATGGGACTCAGACAAGAGATGGGGTTGGCAGGGCCAGTCAGAGGTGGGATTTGCTAGTTCTCCAAACTACTCAAAATTTCTGCTACTGGTTGTCCAGAACTGGTCAGAACCTGCTGAATACCACCTCTGGCTTCAGGATTTTAGAAAGGATTTGAGAGGAAAGGTGTGATCCAGATGTTTTCCTTCAGGCACTGGGATTTGGGGTTGCTTCCTTATGCTTCCCTGAGCATAAAACACTTACCAGATGAGGTTTCCTTTGAAGGAGAACTCCTCAAAGACTTAAGGTGCCCTCAGTCCAAATTTAATTTATGTCCATGTGTACATACATGCAAGACGTATGAAAGTACGATGATGAAGTGAAGACCAACAATGCATTTTGCTTGATGACAGCTGATTTGTGACCTTATGCAAGTCGTTTTCAATGCCCAAGAATTCATTTAGTGACAGTTCAAGGTTACAAAGCCACTGAAAAAGCGATTTATGACCATTTTTCACACATATGACCGTTGCTAGATCCCCATGATCATGTGATCAAAATTCAGACACTTGCAACTGATTCATATGTATGATGGTGGAAGTAAGTCCATGTTATCCCCTTTTGGAAACTTCTGATGAGCAAAATCAAGCCAGATTCACTTAACAACCGGGTTATTAACTTAACAGCTGCAGTGATTCTGAATGAAAATTTTATTTGGGTTTTACAAAATACAAATAAAACAGCTTTTTTGAAAATAGCATGGTCCCGGGTTGAACTTCTTTATACAGACACAAAACTCAATTTCATGCTCCTTTTTGTGTTCTATTCCATATCTTATACTGTTCTACATTTTCTATATAGTTTTTCCCCTCTTTTAATTTTCTCAATTTTATTTTGATTATCTCATCTCAATTCAAATCATTATATTTATACTTTTGTCTGTTCTGTTTCAATTTCATATTATCTTTTCTCATTAAACAAATTTTCTCCTGTAGTTACTAATTGGAGTATGACATCTTTATATCTTTTAATTACATCCATTCAACTCTTATTTAAACTTTAATATATACTTTAAGGTTATGTCCTTCAATATAATACATAATACATAATTTCCAATCGAATTCTGCTTGGTACATTCTTATAATACACACTATATTCTTTAAAAATATATAAATATATATAATTATAAACCCTCATTCCAATCCAATTCAGTTCTATCATTAATAATCATTAAAATCTTAACATCTTTAACACTTCTTTTCAATTAAATATCATGCTTCCTTAAAGACACATATAATCTCCATAATTAATTTTTCCCTTATTTCTCTTCACATATGTTTTGTAAATCATTAGATATTCATTTTGTTACATTTATTTATTGACAAGCATTCCACTGAATTATGATAGCTATTTTATCAAACATTTTAATCATACATTGTTTCATATTTTCTAAAATTATTTCTGTTTCTAATATAACAATACTATCTTATGTACCTTTGCAGAATCCCCTTTTCCATTAAATTTTCACCCATTATCTCTAAATAGGCCCTGTTTCTCTATATTTTGTTTCTGTCCTTTATAACTTCTTTTCCTTTCTTTCTTCCCTCTCATCTTCTCCCTCCCCTTTTTAGCCCCTTGTCTCTCTACTTCTAATTCTCTCTTCTGCCTTTCCCTCTTCTGTTGCTTTCTGATTTTATACTTATTTTTCACTCTATTTTTTTTGGAGTTGTTTTTCCCAATCTTAAACTTGCAGCTCTTAAAGATGCAGCTCTCCTCAACCCTGCAGGCAGTCTCCCCCTTCTTCACCACCTCTACGGGGTGGCTTAGCCCTGAAACCAGCCGGCTCGGGGTGCTCCAGCGGCGAGCACGTATCGAAGCCTCGCAGAAATGAGGTTTCGGTCTGTCGCCGAAGAAGCTCAAACCGGGAGTCCAGCTGCAGTGATTCATGTCACAACCGTGGCAAGAAGAGTTGTAAAATGGGGCAAAACTCACTTAACAAATGTCTCACTTATCAACATAAAGTTTGGGCTCCATTGAGGTAGTAAGTCAACCAAGGTTAACCTGTAAGAGCTTCCTGTTCCTAGAGAATCATGGGCTATTGATGGAACTATAGTTAGCTAACTAGATTTATTCATTTATTTATTTTTATTTTGTCAATCACTTACAAAATAATAGGTATAAGTATAAACATGACTAAGAATACAGGAAATAGGTACCAATAAATGGGGACAATAGGACAGGGACAGGAGGCACGATGGTGCACTTATGCACGCCCCTTACAACTTCTTAGGAATGGGGTGAGGTCAATAATGGATAGTTTGAAGTTAAAGAAGTGGAGGGTTTGAGGATGTAACAACGGAGTCAGGTAGTGTATTCCAGGCATTGACCACTCTGTTGCTGAAGTCGTACTTTCTGCAATCGATTTTGGAACGGTTTGCATTGAGTTTGTATCTGTTGTGTGTTCTTGTATTGTTGCAGTTGAAGCTGAAGTAGTCATTGATGGGTAGGACATTGTAGCAGATAATTTTGTGTGCTACGCTTAAGTTCAACTGTAGGCGGCATAGTTCAAGGTTGTCCAAGCCCAAAATCTCAAGCCTGGTGATATAGGGTATTCTGTTGATTCACATTATTGAATCAAAATCACCTTACATGTCTAATGGATATACGTACAGATAGTCCTCTACTTACAACAGTTCACTTAATGCCTGTTCCAAGTTACAAGGGCACTGAAAAAAGTGGCTTACGACCATTTTTCACACTTATGACCAGGGCAGGCTTGACAACCGACTCCCATTTATGACAGTTTTGCAGCGTCCTGGTGAGTCACATGAGCCCCTTTTGCGACCACCAGACAAGCCAAGTCACTGGGGAAATCAGATTCACTTAACAACCAGGGTACTCATTTAACAACTGCAGTGGCTCACTTAACAAACGTGGCCAGGAAAGTCGTAAAATGGGGCGAAACTCCCCTAACAAATTTCTCACTCATCAATATACATTTTTGGGCTCCGTTGTGGCTGTACCTCCAGGACTGCCTGGTATCTCAGGGTTGGCATGTGGTTGGCCATTATTCTCCACACTGATTTTTTTTTGGAAAGGGGAAGTATTTGAAATAAAATGCCTGCAACTCAAAACCCGATTCCAAAGAACTCCCAAAACAAATCACTACTATAATCGGATCTGATGTGCATTGAGGGTACATTCTTACTCCCCACAAACAAGGATAATCTCCTATCAGTGGTGGGATTCAAAAATTTTTACTATCAGTTCTGTGGGGGTGGCTTGGTGGGGGTGGCTTGGTGGGCATGGCAGGGGAAGGTTACTGCAAAAACCCCATTCCTGCCCACCAGAGGTGGTATTCAGAAGGTTCTGACCGGTTCTGGAGAACCGGTAGTGGAAATTTTGAGTAGTTCAGAGAACCGGCAAATCCCGCCTCTGACTGGAGATTTTACAGTATCCTTCCCCTGCCACGCCCACCAAGCCATGCCCACAGAACCGGTAGTAAAAAAAAATCGAATCCCAACACTGCTCCTCACCCCACTAACCTGCTTTCCAGCTCCGTTCTCCTGTGCAGGGCAACCAAAGAAGACCCAGCCGATCAGCTGGGACTCAATGGGAGGCAGAGAATAGATGGGGGCGGGGCCAGTCAGAGGCGGGATTTGGTGGTTCTCTGAACTACTTAAAATTTCCACTACCGGTTCTCCAGAACTGGTCAGAACCTTCTGAATATCACCTCTGTCTCCTATGTCACCCAATCGAACCCCATCCATTTTTAAAATTCATTGAAGGAGGATGTTGCAATTCACCTGTGAGAACCATAGCCACTTCTGCTTTCGGAAAGAGGAAAGAGATTTCCACCCAAAGCCCTTTTCTTGCGCTGTTCTGACAATAGCACAGAAGAAACCACAGGAGGAGAGAAGCTCTCCAGAGTCCTGGAGAAAGGTTGCTCTCCTGCACCAAGAGGTGAGACCATCCTGCTTTTCACTCAGTGGGGATTTTAAGAGTCTAGTTGACTTCAAAGGCCTCTGACTGAGATCAAAAAGAGGGTCTAATTGGAGCTTTATTGGCATCATTTATTTTGCAGCTTAGCTTGGCCGACCACAGTAAGAGAATATGGCTTATTCTGGAATTTCTGGTTTTAGTGGTACGTTTGATTTCTCAACTCCCTGACAGCGCACAATTCTTCTTTCCACTGCTGCTGTTGTTCTTATTTTTGGGGTTTTGTCTTCTCGGTGGAAGAAATACTTTAAAAGGTGTTTTTTTTTTGCCACCAGAAGCTTTTACAGAGCTGGTCCAAGCATTGAGCAGGAGTTGCCTCAGAGTACAATTTGTTTAGAGACATGGAAGAGCAACGGATTGCTTTTTAATTTGATGTTCTTGCACTCTTACTCTAAAGAATTTTCTGCTTCGTAATCCAAAAATCATTGGGCTGCCATTGAATATTGCACATATGGATGGATTTAGAGATATGGAAGAAAACCTTGGTGGGGAAAAGCAAGAATCATTATGTAGTCATTTCTCTGCTAAACAACTAATTCCTAAACAACACTGTCAAATTAACTACTAAGATTGTATTACTATTCTTCTCATCCTTACTAATACCTATCTCTTCCCACTTGTGGCTATATCCATGTGGCTTGTATCTTTGCAAGTTATATTTCCTAGTATGATTTGATTGCTTATTAGTATTCTATGACTATCCCTAAGTGTTGTATCTTATATTCTTGATGAATTTATGTTACTTTTTCTTTATGTACACTGACAGCATATGCACCAAGATAAATTCCTTATGTGTCAAATCACACTTGGTCAATAGAGAATTCTATTAAGACTACAGCAAGACTAATTCTATTAAGACTAATATTCAAGTAAATGGCTCTGTAATTTACTGAACCGTAAGAAGGATACAGTACCACCAGTAACCATTCCCAGATTATATAATGTGTGATGGCACATGGATGTGCCATTCTGATTAAAATACCTCTACCTCTACCCCTACCTCTATCTATCTATCTATCTATCTATCTATCTATCTATCTATCTATCATCTATCTATCTATCT